ATAACAATTCTTTGTGGTGAGCACACCATAAGATACCTCAAGTTATCAATATGAACACTAATGAGCAGAAAGCTCGACCAAGGAAACTAAATCCAAATGAAAAAATTCTTAAGAGCATACGCATCTTCTATATGCAGCAAATCAAGATTAGTATATTGCTTACATGATGTATAGTTTTGTAGATCAGGTGTATAAATATTATTAAACATTATATATATATATATTTATATTGGTTTTCTATCTAATGTTCGAAGTTCACATTGAAGTCCCATCTAAACTTGGATCGCGCATTGTAGGGCCCATTCAGGAGTAACGCTATCAACAAGATTTTCTCCATAGTCAGCGCTCAAACCCCATACATCTGGTTAAGGGTGAAACAGTCTCACTAGTGCACCACAACTCATGTTGAGAAAAATATCATTAGCCATGCAGTGTAAAAAAATAAAAGTATGACCATGTGGTGCTATGTGTTATGCTGAATATATATATATATATATATATATTTAGCCATGCAGTGTAAAAAAATTAAAGTATGACCATGTGGTGCTATGTGTTATGCTGAATATATATATATATATATTTTTTTTTTTTTATATCGTTCACTCACTTTTACTTGTCGAAATGCTAAAAATATGTTAACGCTATCTTACTCGTCACTTTTAGAATATCAACATAAAAATATTTTCATTCTTCACATTTTATTCTTAATATTATTAATAAATTACTTGAATTATTTTGCAAGAAATACTATTAAATAACAATTAATATGAATATTGTGATAGATTAATCATATCATCATATTATTTTAAAGAACGTGCAAATTTCAAACTAAACCTAAGAAGTATTTGTGATGGTAGAAGTTCAAGACACAATGTTCGATTCTTTTTCATTTTACACTTGATTGTGATATTTAAGACATTAATAGGAACAAAATAATAATAACTCCTCATAAGTAATATATTAATTAAGAAACATATAAAAAAAATGCAATACATGATTTGATATGGGAGAGATTTTATTTGATATTTGTATTATGTTATTGTTAATCAATCGATATCAGCATTCAGCCTTCTCCTTTGTTTTCTGAAGTTTTACGTGTTTCTTGACACCAACAAATATATATATATACACACAAATATATTATTTAAGTAATTCACATCAAATTTCAAGTTAAATATATTTAGATATATATATTTTTGCTACCATATATATTAAAATATTTTATATATCTTAGAATATATGTGAACCACACTACATACATGTTTCTAATGTGATTCATATGTATCTACGATATCAAATACGAGAGAAAAGAGAGTTACGAATGAGATTTATCTATATATCTCAAATATATGGGAATCCATCACACTTAACTCTGACCCATGTATCCCGAAATACATATGATTAAAATTAGGTATAATTTATTTTTATATACATTATATTCGAGACAATTTGTATGTATATGAGATTAATAACAAATTTCGCTCGCCTTCTTCACCTCTCTCTCATCTCGCTCACCACTCTCATATGTACATAATATTTCAGATACATGCAAATCTCACTTGCTCCATCCACCTCTCTTGGGCTTAAAATTGGGTTTATTTATAGAAGGTTTGGGTTGGGCCAAACCCCAAATAAAAATGGAGGGCAATGAAAATTTTGAAACCCAAAAAGTCTAAAAAATTTCAGAAATTCCCACCCAAAAGGAAATTGTAGGCGGCAAATAGACGTAACATTCAAAACAAAACCCAAAATTACAATAAAATGTGGCACTAAAAATAAACATAATATTACAGATCTGACCACTCTTCTCTCTTTTTATTATCTTCTTCTCCAAAAAAAATTTATCCTTTGCTCTCTCCTCTCTCTCTCTGCTTAGCCCAAAAGTTCAAAGGTATGTTCTCTTTCTTCTTCTTCTTCTTCTCTCTTTAGTTACCCAGTTTGCTTGTTAGTTGCTGAATGAGATTTGGTTAAAAACCCTAATTTTTTCTTTGGGTAACTTTTTGTTTTCGTTTTTCGTTGTGGGGTTCTCTTTAATTACTAGTTTACTTGTTGGTGAATGAGATTTGGGTAAAATCCCTAATTTTTTCTTTGGGTATTTTCTTGATTTCGTTGTTCATTGTGGGGTTTTCGTATTTTTTTTCTTCTAGGGGTGTTTCCGTTTTGAATTGTTTGTAAAACCCTTTTTCGGTGTTTGGATTTTAGTATTTTTGTGCTGGGTTTTGTTAGAATTAGTGGTATATGGAAGATCTGAGTTTAATTAGTTGATTTTACGGGGAAAACTCAGATCTTTATTCTTTACTTCATCTTGGGTTTATCGTTGACGCAAATTCTGGGTTTATACTGTTCAAGATTGAAGAAACCAGATAACACAAATACTGACCTTTTGTTTTTTGTTTTTTTATAAGATGGCGGGGAAAGGTGGTAAAGGATTGCTAGCAGGAAAGACAACAGCTGCTGCTGCTGCAGCAGCCAACAAGGAGAAAGACAAGAAAAGGCCAGTTTCTAGGTCATCTCGAGCAGGTCTTCAGGTAATGTGATTTTTTTTCAATTACTGGAGAAATGCAGCAAGTCAATGTCTTTTGCACTATAGATTTAGGTTTGGTTGTGACAGTTTTTCTGTTGAAGGGTTTTAGAGAACCTGGTTGAGAATTGCTTTCCCTGTTCATACTGTGGTTGCTTGTTCTGTTTCATTAGGTTTGTGGATGTGTTTCTTTTGTTTCTAAGTTGACTTTGAGAATATAATTTGACAAGTCGAAGACTATTAGCTCTTTATTCAGGTGCATGCATGTGTGTGTCTTATACAAATCACAATGCGAGCAATAATAGTACAGGTTTGACAATGATAAATGCCATTGATGTGATTTGTGAAGTTCCGGTCTGTCTAATCGTCTTTTGAAATGTAATTTGCCCGTGTCTCAATTTCTTTATAAGGCTAAATAACACATGGAACTTTTGTGGATATGAGGATGCATAGCTGCATGTGTGGGCATACTAGGTGAGACAAGATTAGGAATGAAGATATTTGGGACACATTAGGAGTGACCTTTGTGATGGACAAGATGTGAGGTGAGATTGAGATTGTCTGTATATGTGAAGAAGAAACATGCATACACCTTGTTAAGGAGGCGTTGGAGGTTGACATGGATGGGTTTAATTAGGGGTACAGTTAATTTGGGTAAGTATTGGGGAGATGTGACTCGGCAGGGCATGACACAATTTTAGCTTGATGAGGACATGGACCTTACGTAGGAGGATACATAGGTATCTAGTTAGGGTAAATAGTTAAGATAGTTGACAATTGTCTTTCTCCTTACAGGGAGGGGCTTTGTGGTTAGATAGTACTATATTTATTTGCAGAATTTCTTGTTCTTTAATTACTGCTACTACATGTTTCTTGGTGCTTGGTCATTACATTATTTTGCTTTGTACTGTTTGTTACACTTGTTTATTTGTTATGCGTTGTTCTATCTCTATATTGTCCTTTTCAAACTGTCATGTTATGTGTTGCTTGAGCCTAGGGTCTTTCAGAAAACATCCTCTCTATCTCCATAGGTTTAAAGTTTTTGTACACTACCCTTCCCAAAACGTGCGACAATACTATGGTATGTTGTTGAAGGTGTAATTTACATTGTTGATATATGACTAAAATCTCTTTAGTTTTGGCATGACACTCATCTTGAGTGTGCAAATTTTAGAATGAACATGCTACAATATCATGATGATGTACATAGAATGTTGTCTCATTCACGTGACATTCAATTTGCATAAATGATAGTGAGGGTACATATTGCACCTTAATGGTAGGGTAAAATATGCTTTTACTATACCTTCCCCAGACTCTACTTATATGATTACATTGGATATTTTGTTGTGAAATTGTCCAGGAAAGTCACTTGCACAGTAAAACACCTTAACTTTGGAGGTGGCCTCTTTGCGATTGCCCCTTGTTTGTCTTTTTAAAGCTCAGCTGTGAAGTGCACACTCCAAACTAGCTTCTACCTCAGAAAATTCTAGTAAATTCTATGAAATCTGTGTCCTATCTTTCACTCTTGTGTTCACAAGAAATAATGGCAATTTGAATCACCATCCCACGTTGCTTCTCTGACTTCACCTTGCTAAATAATCTCATACTCAGTCTGATCGGTTCTTGTTAATACCAATTCAACCACATAATCAATTAAATCTGGGTCCTTTTCTCATCAGTTCTACTTTTTCTTTGGTAAAAACAACTGCAAATTATTCTTATTATTAACCTTCATGTACCACCATAAGTTTTTGATCCACAAATAAACAATTCAATCCCAAGAATAGTTCAACTACACCCATCCAGGAACATTTTGGGTTTCTTCTTCATCGACTCTGGTTGAATTGTTATTCATGTTCCTACATTACCCATGTTTAGCATTTCAATACTCTCCCAAACTTTTCCAGACAACTTCATTTTGCAGTTCAACACACCCAAGAAATAAAAAAATGTTCAACTTGGGTAAGATGATGTTTTCATACATGTATTGCATAATGCAAGAAATATCACATTGCTATGATGATTCTGTTCACAATTGGTGCTCCTTTTGCTATCTGGAAGTAGTGAGTTTTTCTACTTGGGTTTCAGATCTGAGAGTGGGCAGAGGTTGTTGGGTTTCTTTGCATTATTTGTTGCAGTGATGGGGTGGTGGCAGATTCGAAATGGTTGTAGGTTCTGGTGGGATGAAAGTAATGTGTACGAGGAATGGGAGGTGGTGACATGGTGGCACTGACTATGTTGTCCGGAAAGAGAGGATTGAGGAGAAGAATAAAATAAAACAAACAGAAGAGAGAATTTAAAAAATTGAAGGAGAAGAGCCCATAAAAAAGAATGAAGTTTTATTAGTTATATATCATCCTGTTAAACGATAACACTTGAATAATTAATTACATTTTCAAGTGTGTAAAGTGACTGAGCTAATGTGTAGACAGCTGAAAGCTGCTACATAAACAGATGCCTGTTAACTTGTTAATGCATACCTTTCTTGGCCGTTTGGCTAAGATCAAGTGAAGCATCTCTTCTTATCAGTTTAATATCTGGTATGTGGACCATTGGTTCGCATGATATTATCTCTATTTTTTTTGAGGGGAAAGGTCCATCAGGATAGCCTGCTATCCGGGCCTTCGTGCGTTGCCTAGGTGTTATGCAGCCCAGGCCTGGTGCACCCCACAAATTCAAGTAAAAAAAAATCATCAGGAAATTGTCTAAATCTGTATAGTTCCTCATAACAAGTGATTTGTATTTCTCATGGATACTAAAGGCAACATCTCTCCACCTAAACATATAAAATCCCAGCAATCTTTGTTATAATTCCAAGCAAATTAAGTTGGAATAGATGAATATTTAGTAATTAAAATAATTTGCTTGTAGCATCAATCCATTATTGGATATTTATTTGTGTTGCAAGAATGAAAGATGTGTAGTTTGAGAAATTAGTAATGAAAAAGCAGAAACTGATATGTTCACAAAGTTGAGTATGTAAAGTGACTTACTGGATAAGTTTAGGGTGCAAAATATGTATTTTCCCAAGTGGTAATATTAAATGTGGATCTCTTGCTCTAATGACGTCTTTCCGCTAAGGTTATGATTGTATATGTCATCCTGAATGAGTTTCTTGAACATTTTTGTTGTCGTTGCATTTACCACAATGAAAAGAAGTCCTTTATGATTGGTGATATTATTAGTAGTATATTTACCCCCAAACAATGTTAAATTATGCTTGATATGATTTTTCTTGGACATGTTTTGGGGATCATAGTTTCCAGTGGGTAGAATTCACCGTCAACTCAAGTCCAGAACCGCAGCCCATGGACGAGTTGGAGCCACAGCAGCTGTTTACTCTGCTGCTATTCTGGAATACCTGACAGCAGAGGTTCTTGAATTGGCTGGCAATGCAAGCAAGGATCTGAAGGTGAAGAGGATCACACCCAGGCATCTGCAGCTGGCCATTCGTGGAGATGAGGAACTTGACACCCTTATTAAAGGGACCATTGCTGGTGGCGGTGTCATCCCTCACATTCACAAATCACTCATAAACAAAACCACCAAGGAGTGAAATATGGTCATATGCTGTTGTCTCTTGACTTAAATGACAGTTTGGTGTTTAGCATGTTTTCTCTGTTATCTGGTTTGATATTAGTAGTCCTGTATTTTGATTTAGGAACAATTTCAGCTTCTCAGTCATGTTTGATCTAGTTAAAACTTGTAGGGATGTAGTGGACTATGGAAATGTTAATTTGACATTTATATCGTGTTGCTATGCAGTCAATTAACCTGTTTCTGTTGATGCTTATTGTATGTGAATGGGTTGTTTAGAAGATTGTAGATCCTCCTAACAGACATCAAATGCTCAATTTCACAAGAAGAAAACATTGAGCATCTTCTTTGTACATGCAAACTATGCTCAACAGATTTGAAGTATAGCCAACTTTGGTTCACCAAATCAAGGTTCATTTGTATAGTCATTGTTGACTCGTACAAGGATATAGAGCAGATAGTATTTCTAGTATTGTACATAACTAGTTCAAATTGAAATTGCATCGTACAGATCATGAGAAGTGATACTGATAAAGTGATTAAAACTTTTATCAACCTTATTAATAAAGCTCAACTCTAGTGTGGCTTTGCATTTGGACATCACTATTTATCATGATTAGACTTAATATAACTTTAATGCAGAAGTATAAAAAACTTGTATCGATGAAAATTGAATCTAGTCTTGAGATGCTTATGGTATTATGTTTTATTAAAAATTCACAATCTTTTCTTATAAAGGAAGATAACTACTTATATTTGATATAAACACGTGTTGTTTAGATTATATTCTATTTGATTTGATGTGATCATGTGTTATTCAAATTACATCGAAAAAATAATCCTTTCATTGTTTGATCAAGCTGGTCGACACAAGATAAGTGGATTATATTATATAAAATATTATGTCTTCCACTGAAAGAAAAAAGAAAAAAAATATGAATAGAACAAGAGACTCTCTCAAAGAAAAAATTGCAAATGGCATCTTCTTGCCGACTTCTTCTTTATCATTTTTTTTTAAAAAAAAAATTGTTCCAAAGAAAAAGTGAGTTAAGAACTTAAATAGGATGCATCGAACTTAATTAATTAATTAAGGTACTTATAAACTAATTATATATTAGTTACTTAGTTTCATGATGTAATCATCTTATTATATTAATTTAATATTTCTAATTGATCACTTAAGGTATCAAGATTTAGACTTTGCTTAATATACTCTTTCATTCTCTTTTGTTTGTTTTCTACAATGGTATGTATATGTGCACTACTTAGTTAATTACTTCTCCCCTCATAATTAATTATAATATAAATAAATATGTCCACAATTAGTATTAGAGTCTATATATTTTCTTCTATTAATCCTCTTTCATATATATAATTATTCTCTTTCTCTCACATATGGAGGCAAATCTTGTTCTATCTTACCAAAGCTTTTCAAAAGTTTCCATGAGAAATATAAAGATCAATACATATTATAAGTACAATAAATTAGCATATCCATCAACATGTTGTGTGTTAACAAAGCCACCACACAATAATCATAGTAGTAATTGTCATGTTTATAAAGATAATTGGTTTGATCATCTTGCTATTAATCATCTCTCTCAAAGTATACAAGCTACCACAGGTAATTATATATTTTCCATTTCAATTAGTTTGTCGTGCTCAATCTCCATTTTAGGGTGTTTAAAAAAGAATACCTGTTTCCTTTTTTTTATTTTAACTTTCTGTGAGACATGTTTAAAATCACAGTTAGATTATAAAATATTTTAATTCATTATAAATATTTTTAATTTAAAATCACATGATTCAAAATTTCTCTTTTTATTTTAAATTTCATCATATCAAACCAAAACCAAAAATAAATATTTAAATACCTCTCTTTCTCATCACACTTGACTAAATAATTGGTTGATTTCTCAACCATCACTCAAATTATAGTTATTATCATCTCAGAAAATCAATTTTTATTAAACACAAAATAACGACTTTCTGAAATAATAAAAATTAACAAGTTAAGTGACCATTCAAGAAATCGACTCGAATTAAAAGGTACCAATTCAATAATCTCTCTTATTTCTTTGTTTATAATATTAATTTTAGGATTAAGAAACAAGAAGAGTGGATATGAAGGTTTTGTGGAGGCTGCAAGGGTTGTGTATGTGAACTTTAATTCAACACATCAAGCAAATCTTGTTATTGAATCTCTTCAAAGGGCATTCCCTAAGCCTATTCTTTCTCTGGCAAGTTCAACTTCATATCTTCTAACTTTATTTTATCTTCAAATAATATCTGATTTCATTGCATACTCCGATTACCTGTAACAACATGTTAAAATATTAACTTAATAGTATATATTATAATGTTAATATATGTTTAAAAAAAATATGTTTTACTCGTTGTCTTTTATCTTATTTTTAACGTGTTGAATCCCCTTAATAGAAAAATGAGTTAGCTAAAAGAAAATTAAATTATTGTTCACAGAACTATCCCTAAATTATCATTTAACTTATATTAAAATATCATCTAGAGCATTAATATAACATTTTACGTGTCAACACACACGCCAAAAAGCTCCTTAAAGAAGTTTCACGTGGAAATAAAATTTGGGTGATCAATCGTTAATATCACCATTTCACCACTATAGTATTAGTCCGTTGTGAATTTCATATCTGAACTAGATATTTATCGACCTTTTATGATAAATGAATTCATTTTTAAGCCTCTTTTCATTTTTTATTCCATACATTTTATCATAGATTCAATTGAGGCAATTTTTAATCTAAGTGGAGCTAATACTTAATAGTCAAGAAGGTAACAACAACAAATATTATAATATGAACACGTAAATAATGAACAATATTATGTAAATAAAATAAAAATAATTTCTCCCCTAAATATATATAAAAACTTATGAATCTCCTTGTAATAGTAAAATTAATTCAGAAATTATTTAAATTCATTAATTTAAATATATTAAATCTTCTTATTAAAATTTCCGCCTCGCTTCGATAGGGCGGACGATAGCATGCACGTCAATATTTAGGAAGTAGAATAAAACTTTGGTTTTGTCATCCTTTCTTGTTATTAACTTCTAATAATATTCAATTGCACTTCCACCTATAAGTTAAACCCCCTTTTATATAAGTATATACTAAACTAATATTTTATAGGGAAAAAAAATAAATATATCCTAAACTATCATGGAATGAAAATATTTTCTGTCATATTTTTGGGGATACTAGTGTTTCTGTCATTCAAAAACTAAAGCATATATGCCATCACTATAATGGAAGACTAAATAATGACACGTGACACAATCTTATCCGTCAATCTAATATTTAATAAATATCGATCGGTTGAAAATTATGACACGCGTATATCTGTTAGTATAAATATGTTCTAGTTTTTAGACGGCAAGAATATCGATGTCCCAAAAATATAACGAAAATTATCTGTATATCATTTATAATAGTGTGGAGATATATTTATCCTTTTCCCTAGTTTATATTATTAAAAGGCAAGCTTTGCATAATGGTCCGTCTATATTTAAATACAAAACGTACAAATTAAATTATTAGGTTGAACGATAAAGACAGAAAGAGCATATAACGCAAGTTGCTTTATCTCCAACAATTCAGTAATTATTAATATACTTATATGTATAATATATACATTTCTAATAGTGATGACTATGGATGACATGTTGGTGATGCTTAAAAATAATCCAGGTGTAGCTTTTGAAAGATTATTAATAATATGTTTGTGATGTTCACGTAAAATATTATATTACTCTAAAAGGTATTTTAATGTAAGTTTATAATAGTTAAGAAAGATTTTGTAGATATTTAATAATTTTAATACGAGTTCACGATAGTTCAATATGTGATCATAGATGTCATAATATTTTTGTATATATAGTTATAAGTTTTTTGAAATATCTTGCTTTTAATATGTCCTAATGTTTGTGCGGACTATAAATACTTATCACTAAAGAAAAGAAAAATGAATGAAATTTTAAAAACTCATCTTAAGTAAATTAAGGTCCTATTATCAGTGGCGGAGACAGGAATTTGTTAAAGGATTTCCAGAAATAGCAGCTTGTTATGTTAAGGGTGTCCAAAATATGTTATTTAA